AGACTTGGTTTCGTTCTGAGAAACTCACGAGATTTCAAGAATACGCACGTCATAAGACTCCTTTACAGCACGCTGGTCAGGAGCAAGTTGGAGGCGAGCTCCTGCATTTGGAATCCACACGAGGCCTCCTATTCTCTACTACTTGAAAAAGTTCAGAAGAAATTCTTAAGATTCCTTTACAAATCCTCTCTAGGCTACTATCCATACATGTACCCAACAAAATACTTGTGTGGATGTCTGGGATACAATATGCTGGAGACCAGAAGAGCGTTTGGACAACTGTACATTATGCTTAAAATCTGCAGAGGTATCATAGATGCTCCTGACCTTCATAATGAACTGATGCGATTACATGCTCCGACTAACTACCTCCGTGCTCGTCGGCACCGCCCACTGTCTGTGCCCGCATGCCGCACAGTGGCCCGTGCATCGTCCCCTATTCCCCGCGTCTTGTCCGCGCTCAATGGCCTCTTGGAAACCTACCCCGACTGTGAGCTATTTATTAATGACTTTAAAACTGTTCAGCGTTTATGTTTAAGTTTTTGTGAAAATGTTTAATACTGTTACCTCGATTACTGTTTATTGTTTTTTTTAATTTATATTTTTATGTGCTTTATTTTTTCTTTTATATTTTTATTTTGTCATGTGATTTGTAGCTATATACGATGTTTGTTTTGATATCTGTATATGTTAATGTAACTGGTGTAAACCGTATTAACATAAAAATAAATAAATACCTTAAATACCTTTACTAGCCTTTGCCCGCGACTTGACGCGTTAATTCGGAGTAAGACAATATTATACATAGTACAGGTAAATCTTTATCTTGAATCACTCCATCTATTAAATAAAAACTGCATCAAAATCTGGTGCGTAGTTTTGAAGATCTAAACGTACCTAAGTACAGACAGCAGAAAAAAATTGTTAAATGTGAATATGGATCACTTGATAGTAAGCAATTAGCGCTGCTAATGGACACCCCCGACATCAGAGGAGTTAAATTCGTTGCCGGCCTTTGCAATCCTCCGCGCCTCCAGCCTTCAAGTCCGGTAACCACACTCACATAGTCAGACATAACAGAAAGCGGTTTTTCACGCTCTTGTTAGTCCGCATTCGAGCCGAGGCATTTTTAGACTAGCTTTTCGTCCACGGAAAGGGTGAAAACCATTGAGAAATGTACATTTCTATCGTCTATAGAAATCTAATCCGGCCCTGATTTATAAAAGCTGAAAAAGCCAAAACGCATAAAAAAGTCTAGAAAATAAAATAGCGATGCAGCGGCGGCAGCATCTCGTGCCGCCCCGAGGTGGCCTGCCGTTGCCGCTTCGATGGTAGCCGTTGTGATGTACTTATTACAATATTGTAGGGTACTTAGAATCTCTTTTCTGTTATGGTGGAAAATCGTCAAAAAATTACTCGGATGGAGTATCAGAGTTTTTCGGAATGAACGGCGAGCTCTTGCTCGCCGTCAGCAGATACGCGCTTACGATGGTAGAAGATGGTCTCGCTATCCCGGACGCCCGGAGCGTCTCGTGTGGCGGCTGGGGGTGTGAGAAGGTTAGTTAGTTCTCTCAAGCGCTCCACCTCCTTCTTAGATAGCATAACTGCTTCGCAGAAGGAGCAGATCCCCTCCATGTTATTAGCCGGCTTCTTAGTTCTCGTTTCGCTCGTTTTGCTCCGTGGCCCCTACCAGTGCCGGCTGCGAGAGGTCAATGCCACCGATCGCTTCCCTGAGGACACTATAAATAAACCTCAAGCAGAGCACACTTCCACACCATGCTCTGGGTGACCCGCGCAATAGCGATGCCCGAGCGTCTGGAGACCGTCCAGAAAACACCTGTGACAGCCAAAGTCAAAGTCTAAGTCAAAGCATTTATTTCAATTAAACCATAGTTTGGTACTTTTAAATAAATAATAGTCTGTCAGTCAGTCCGTCAGTGAAACTAGGTGAAGCTAGGTGCTCATTCCAAAATGTAGATTCGAATGCAGAAGAACGAGCAAGAAACTCCATTCGTTACTCTTTTTAAAAAAGTATGTTTTACAATGTCTCTGATACATATTTCTATACAAGAAAAAGGAAACGCCGTGGCTAAAGAGTATAGCACTCCTAAAAGAGAGGTTTTACCGCAGCGATTCAGTTGTGACAATCGTTGTTGTGGCTGGAAAGTCAGCAATGCGCGCCGGCTTCTCCACGAGGATCAACATATCCACTTTCCATGGTAACAGACCGAGCCGATCTCCAAGCATGCGGAGGCGCCACTTGCTAATCGAGGCCCGAGACATCACTGAAAACCGACGTGGCTTGCGTTGTATTTCGTCGTGTGAGTGACGTAATCGTAAGCCACCGGGAGAAATTCCTTACACCCGAAAAGGCAGGCAACGCACAACGCCTCGTGTATCGGGTGTCCGTCAGGTGAACTGTCTTCCCGAGACGGTGTCTCTGCTATATCTACTTACTGTAAAAATGTGTAAAAACAATCTAGAAACTAGATTTTAAGGAAAGGGAAATAGGTACTTAATTTTATTGTGAACTAGCTGACCCGGCAAACTTCGTACCGCTTAAAAGTTTTTTCTCACCTTTTAAACCTTCCCTAGACTTCCACGAACCTATCAAGACCAAAATTAGCCAAATCGGTCCAACTGTTCTCGGGTTTTACTGTTTTAGCGAGACTAACGAACAACAATTCATTTTTATTTATAAATATAGATATAGATAGATAGATGAATCTGTATATATATAAAAATGAAACCCGTTTCCTGTTGTCACGCCTTAACTTGAGAACGGCTAGAACGATTTGGCAGATTTTTTTTGTTGTGTTTGTTATTGTCAGAAGAAGGTCCTTATGACAAAATCCTGAACATCCTACGGGAACGGGAGAAATCGGGATTGCGCGTACGAAGTCGCGGGTAGAAGCTAGTAGTGTATAAAACCCTGAGGACACGGTGGAACACACGGTGGGAGAATGGCCTGCGTGGGCTGAGCACCGCGAGGCGATCTCCGGCCACCGTAAGCGCGGGCCTGTGGACGGCGAGCATGGGTGGCTCCCCGTCCGACCAGAAACAGACCCGAGCGTACGGCGCGTCGCGTTCCGCGCGCGCCTCAAAGAGCCATCAGACCACCACAGATGGGGCCCAATAGGGCCGATGCCGATTCGCCGATTCGGAGTCGCGGAGAACCTAACGGGTAACCGGCTCGACGTGCAGGAGAAGGAACGGGATGGTTTTTAGTCAGTAAAAGTCTGACACTCCCTTCCACCTCACTCAGGCGGGAGCAATCATTCGATGATTTTACGCCCCTAAAAAAAAAAAAAAAAAAGTAGTGTATAAAATATGTTTAAGTCTGTAGTGAAGGCAAAGTGTTACAGCTTCGGGGTGGCTTTGTAAATCCAGTACTGTCCATCGAGTATCTCGATACTAGGTCACCGGTGATCGCTCTCCTTTTACTCCACTATAAACTGTTTTTCCGATGGTATGAACAAATGTTGTTGGTTATTCATAATCGGGGATTAAGAAGTTAATGATTGTTATAATATTATGGTTGGTTAGTTAGAAAGCTAACATTTGTCAGTCAGTGTGGGAGAGCCATGCTTCGGCACGAATGGGCCGGCTCGACCGGAGTTATACCACGGCCGAGCAGAAAACCGACGTGAAGAAACGCTTGCGTTGTGTTTCGTCGTGTGCCCAATTACCCTCCCCTTGCCCCAATCTCCCCAATCCCTGAAACCCCAACGATCCTCAAACTCCTAATCCCCAAAAGGCGGGTAACGCACTTGTACCGCCTTTGGTAATCCAGGTGTCCATGGGCGACGCCAATTGCTTACCACTAGATGATCCGTCTGCTCGTATACTGGCTTATGCCATAAAAAAAAATTGTGATAGCAATATTACACTGAGCAATTTGCTCAAACAATTCGAGTAGGCGCATAAGTTTTACTAAATGTCATTGAAGTTCTCCTTCTTTTCTCCTCAGGTCCTGTTCAAGATCAAGACCGCGTTCAGGCAATTATCACGATTATAAAGCAGCTGAGAAACACAGTCGTCGAGGTAGAAAAAGCCATCGAAGGTGTCCCGACTGCAGCCTTTGTAACTTCGGGCAGTAATCACTAGATGGCGTTGTTCTATGTCACGCTGGAAATTACACTTTGTGCGTAGATGACATTTTCTCCAAATATAAAAATACCTGTGACTGTCTAAGGTTTATTTATTTATATTTGCTTCTTTTTAAATAAATATTTTCATACAACTAATGGGTATAGTTTTTGTTATACATTGAACATTGAACTAGAATTTTCGAGTCACATCAGGGCCCGCGCGGTCTGAAACAGAATTACATTGTGATTGTATGTGCGTAACCTATATTTAGGTCATTCACATTGTTTTATTATTTGTTTGGTAAGTCCCAAGTAAATCGGTCTACCTATACGGACTTGCTTATACTTATGCAGTTATACTTATATAGTTCATTTCTGTATCTCTAAAAGCTACTTTATCACGAGTGCATTAGACCACAAATCACTTTGCAATCAAAATCAAAATCCTGCAAAATTATTGTGGGGTCCTAATAATGCATGTAGGGAGAGAGGTAACCGATCGTTTTGCGCATGCGTGAATCTCATTCGTGTCTAGCTGTGAGCTGTCCCGCCGGTCTAATAAAGTAATAAATTTCCATCAAAATGCCATTGAGACAAGGTAAATAAAACAACTTATTGAACGTTTTCATTTATTTTTATTTCTTAGTGTAACATAAAGTATGTTTTTTGTAACATTTGTGTTGTGTTTTGATTGATTTTTACTGCAATAACAAATATTAATGTTATTATGTTGGTACATAAAACTATCATCTAGTTTTGCATGGTGCTTTTTGAATAGCTACTCTGTGTCAAAAGTTTTGAAGTTGTGTTTCATTGTCATTGTTTTTAAATTCATGCATTGTTTTATTATGATCACAGACTCGGAAAATATTGATTTGTAGGTAGATAAGTAAGTAGCTGGCTACCTAAGTGCAAATTAGAGATCATTTTTGCTAAAATAATTTTAGCCTAAAGTACATTTTTTATATTTTTAAAAATTTTAATCACTTTCATTACTATCACTATCTAAATCGTTGTCTTCGCTGTCGGAATCCGTAGAATTCGATATTGTTATTGGTAGAATATACTTCATGGGACAGCATACATCATGGCAAATCCTGAAAAAGAATAATAAAATAAATGCATTTTACTTTTTAATGCGTAAAAGCCGAAATGCCAATTTTAAAAACATTAGCACGCTGTGCTGTGGTTTTTGACTAGGTATTTGACATTTTGTTGTTATTGACATTTGAGTTTGACATTGTGAAAAAAAAACTTGTTGATTTGAAACTTTACGGTAATCGTAATTGTAATATTTTAAAGTTTTATTTAATTTTATTTCTGTACTCTAGCTTTGATTATGGAGGACGAAGCATCAAATGATGTGGAGGCAGTGGAATACATCGACAGTAACGACGAAGATGATCAAGCTGGTGAAAGTACGTATTTATTAATATTACAATGTTTTTATTGTCTAAATTACGGTAAAAACACTCAATATGTACACTTAAAGTGTAAAGTTAGTTAATTATCGTTCAAAATGCCTTCAACTTAAGTAAATAGGTTATATTTTTGTACTTAATCGGCATTTTGTATCCATAAAAATATTAACTTCTGATAACTTGTCCTCGTTCCTGTGTTATAAAAGTACTACTATACCAAATTTCATCCCTATCCTCTCAGCCTTTTAATTTAGGTAAGTGAGTAACAGACATACAAACAAATTTACAAAATTTCGCATGTTTAATACATATTAGTAAGATGGTATGAAGATATACAGTAAGGCCCTATTGGCACGAGACCGTTTTAACACACGTTAAAAATAGAAGAAATACAATCTGATAGTATAATTGTTAAGTTGAGACATTAATTCAGTGACATAACATCACACCTTTTACCCGCGAAGGGGTAGGCAGAGGTGCACATTATGCCACTGTACAATGTAACATCCACTTTTCACTATTTATGTTATGAGTCCTATGTAATAGGGGGTGTGCCTATTGCCATATACCAGGCACAATTCCAGACTCCGTGCGATGACTGAGAATTTTTAAAATCTTCCAGCCCGTAATACTTTGTTCGACCGGGGAATCGAATCCGAGACCCCTTGCCCAGCAGTCGCACTTGCGACCACTCGGGCAACGAGGCAGTAATTCAGTGATTTTGCATAATTTTTAATTCTTTTTTTATTAATTCCAGCTCGACCAATCATGTTGCTGCTGCGCCGTCTTATCCGCAATAAACAAAACACGGTTATGACCAATGCACAAATAATAGATATACTACACAGCGAGTTTGACATCTGCATTAAGTCCAGCCACGAACTAGAAATCAACATCTACATCAAGATAATCAAAAGATATCTTAAAGATTGGCCGCAGTGGGAGGAACTGGAACGAATATCCACAAAACTGAGCAACTGCAAAGACTATGAAGCCATCTCGAAAGTTTTAAACCATAAGTATAAAAATCTGAAGGAGTATTTAGGCGTCATGCTCGAAATCGCTAAGCCATTGGCAAAGAAAGCGGTCATGGACATCAACCCAAGCATGACGGAGCCTAAAGAAACTATTGTACCTAACGAGAATGATGGCAATCAACAAATCGTCATGGAGTTACAGTGCTCAAGGGAACAATTAAACTATTTAATAACAAGATATCCGGATTGTGTCGAAAAAAAATGTATTTTCAACTTAGTACCTAAGCCCACACGAATCAGATTGGGAGCGTTAACGTTTGCGGATATTGTAAAAGGATGGCCCCTTAAAATTGCTATAAATCTACCACACCTCGTGCTCCATAGAGAATTTATATTCAAATTGGAACACACTCTAGTAAACAAAGCACGACAGGGAGACAGGAAATTCAAAGTACATATTCTAACGAACACTGTACAAGCAAGGACAACAAAAAAGACTGTACATGTACCGAAAAACGTTGTCGTTCAAACTCTAGATGATATTTTGACAGCGTGCGTTGCTAACAAAGAAATGTTTGTGATCTTGCACTCAATTTTTGATGTAATGAAGCCGGAGATCGACAAAACAGTGGTTGCATTTAAAGTACCGTCTAGTTACAGGACTTTTGGGAATAGATTTAAGTACGTTAGGTATTTGTACTCAGATGAGGGGCAGCGTACTGGGACGTATGACCTACAGTTGCAGGAGCTGATGACTCCGATTTATATGTATAGTGTCCATATCGCTCGGGGAGATTATGGAGAGATCACGCTGCCTTCTTTAGCAGAATGGTTTAAGCTGGAGTGCGGGATATGTAATTTTAAGCCTGTTGGGGATACGCTGGTAGAAATAAAAGATAAATTGGTCGCCCATGTTAAAGACCATATTGGTGATGAACCAGATTGGCAATGCACGAATTGTTTGCAAACATTTAGTTTGAAATTTTTGACAATGAATCAGTGGTTTCATAAGTGTCGATTGTAAAGTAGAGGTATATATGCGATGATTAAATTTTATTTTTTCTATTTTGGTGTTTCATTTTGAAACTGTCAAACACCGAGCGGTCTCCGGTGACCGCAACCTATTGTTCTTTAATTTGGTCTATAATGACGGTACTTAAAGGGCAGCTTATGTGGGAGGGTCGTTAGATTAGCATATAACATCACGCCTATATGAAGGGCTAGGCAGAGGTGCACATTACGGCACTTAATGCCACTGTACAATGTAACATCTACTTTTCACTAATTATGTTACCAGTCCCATGTAATAGGGGTGAGCCTATTACCATATACCGCGCACGATTCCAGCCTCTGTGCTACTACGAGTAATGTTAAAAAAACCCAGTAATACTTTGTCCGACCCGGGAATCGGACCCGAGACCCTTTGCCGGGTAGTTGCACAAGCGACCACTTAGCCAACGAGGCAGTCATAATTATATTCGTCAGTCGATTAAACTGTCAAACACCAAGCGGTCACCGGTGACCGCAACCTATTGTTCTTTAATTGTGTCTACAAAACCGGTACTCGACGAGTTAAAATGTAGTAAGAAGCACGGAATTCCGTGGTAAGTATACTTACATCCGGAATCCAGGAGGTCCATACAGGGTGAGGTCTATGTGGTCGGTGCTGAAGTTGCAGGAGCCTCGCGTCACGCAGCAGCCTGCCATCCGCCTGCCGTTCACACACGCAGTCGTCCGAGTAACGTTGTGTACTGAAAAAATAACAATAAAAACAAATGTAATCTATGTACATTATTTATATAATAATACCTACGTACATAATAATTTATTCTATCAATATAACACCCTAGCAGCCCGTCCCGGCTTCGCACGGAGTAGACAATTATTTATTTTTGGAAATTTGGATTGTTGTAGTGACATAACTACAATAGTTGGGCATATGCTACCGCGGAGTTTTTTGTAGACATTATGATGTTCTTCAATATTGTTGTACATTATTTTGTTCTATCGCTAATAGTTTCGGCAGCGCATTCGACGAAGACATCTTAAGACTCATTTTTCTACACCTTCGGTTACATTGTTCAAATTTTACCAAGGATCCCTAATTTTTTTCAAGTAGCCTATGTCAAATTGGAAGAATGTAGCATTCTGTTGGTGAAAGAATTTTTTACATCGGCCCAGTACTTTTTGAGCCTATTCATTACAAACATACAAAAATAGGTACAAATCTTTCCTCTTTATAATATTAGTATAGATAATAATCGATTGAATAAGAACTACATTTATTTATACATACATTATATTAGCACTTGCATAAATTATATTTAAACAAAGCATGTAATAAGTACGTGTTTAAATATTTATTTTAACTATTATCATAATAAATCACTGTTATCTTTGGTGAAGAAGTAATAATAAATAAATAAATATTAATTTAAAACAAAATGTAAAATATCCAACAGTCAAACTATTTGTGTATAGTTTTGTTGGACATTGTTTTTTTATGGGGGGAATATCATCGAATAATTCTCCCGCCTGGGTGAGGCGGGAGGGAGTGTCAGACTCTTACTGACTAAAAACCACCCCGTTCCTTCTCCTGCACGTCGAGCCGGAGCCCCGGTAACACTTTAAACTCTCCGCGGCTCCGCATCAGCATCAGCCCTATTGGGCTCCATCCGTGGTGGTCTGATGACTCTTTGAGGCGCACGCGGAACGCGACGCCTAATAAAGCGTTAAATGGTAATGTCTCGGTAATACAATAGTTATACTAACAAATAAAATGTTTAAAACAAAAAATAACTGGTGTAGCATTGCAGAAAGCAAACTTTAAAAGCGCCTACGAACTCAAAGTTATCAAAACACTACGCCATGTAATTCTCGGAGGTATTTCTCGTCGAGTGGCACGTGACGTGCGATGCGAATAGCGCCTACAAAATATATAGGTACGTCAAATGTTTCATGTGCGTATTGCCATGAAATGTATTGATAAACTAAATAAATGACATCTTATTTTTTTTTGTTTACTATACATCGAAAGTATTCATGCCAAGTAGTTGTTTTGCCGCGGGATGAAAATAGATTCCACAGATAAAATATGTACGTACAGATAAATAATATTTTTGTAAATACTTACCGACTTTCCCATCTATAGTTTTTGGGTTGTCCTCTAGAGGGCACTCGGCATCAGACCTTACTGGTACATTCGCGTTGGACACCAGGACTAAGGTGACGGACAAAATGAGAAAACTGCAACAAACAACTATGTTTAGGTAACAATTGGTTGGTCTACCAATCAAGTTCTTTCGTTTGATATCCATAATGGAGGCAGTTGTAAAAAATATAAGGTAGGTAATATTGTGTGGTCATCAAGATTAAGAGTGTGTACCAAATATCAAATCGATCTGTCGTCAGGAAGGTACAATTCCAATGACTAGATAAAACCGTTTAAAAAAATAAATAAGTAAACAAAAACGCTACAGTATATGTCGGTGCGCCTGCAAAAACTAATTAGTTCAAATTATTAGATTTGTTTTTATTTGCTAGATGTCTTTCAAATCGGTATGTGTAGGATTACCAAAGCAAATAATTATACGTGTAATTATAAACAACATTTAATTATATGTTCTGTGGTGGAAATAATAAACATAATTAACTCGTCGAGTACCGATTTTGTAGACACAATTATAGAACAATAGGTTGCGGTCACCGGTGACCGCTTGGTGTTTGACAGTTTAATAAGCATATAATTATATGTTCTGTGACTTCCACAATGTATTTGTCAGAGAATCAGATTTCATTGACTGTTGCCCACGACTTCGCGTAGAATAAGAATAACCATACCTTTATGTTTCGTTTCAATTTTTCAAAATAAAAGTAAGTAGCCTGTTACTCTTTAGTACATCAGCTACCTTCTAGTATAAGTCTTGCAAAATCGGTCCAACCATTCCAGAGATTAGCCAGTACAAACAGATAGACACACAAAAATTGTATATAATGTTATTTTGGTATGTGTAACCTATCGTATGCACTTATACTCATATGCATTTACTTAGTAAAAAGCTGTTATTTTTAATATTACAAATAGATAATCCAATTTCATTTATTTAGAGGCATTACAAGTGAATTACCGGCCTTATAGGGATTAGGAATTTGAGGATTGTTGGGGAGTCAGAGATTTGGGGAGGGGAGGTAATTGGGCCTCCCGAGGATCTTTGACCGCCGCACCTCCATTACCGCCGGTTTGCTCTGGGCCTAACATTCTCCACGAATCCGTTCCCTATTGAATATAGGAACTGTCCAATAGCACACCACAATGCGCACACATCCAATCACAGCCAGTCTCATAATGGATATCGTCTCTCCACTTAGCGGGAAGGCTACACTACGTTTGACACCATCGACATATACTAATGGACATGCCGTACGCGTATACCTAATCTGCAGTAATTTTTTGATTTGGCAAGAGTGAGAGTAACTACGGTACTATTTTGAGAGAGATAAAGATAGACCGAAACTTCGTTTCCTCTCTTTCTTTCGGAGTGCCACAATTCTCATCTTTATGGCATGTCCATTAGTATAATTATGTCGATGTTTGAGCAGTTTGACACGGTCTCCACTCTAGAACGCGTCTACCCCAGCTATCATTGATTCTTCGACAAATGTAACCGGCTTACTACCACTTTAGCTTAGGTACTTCTTTGCTTGCTTTCTTCACTTGCTTACAATCCTTTGGGCTATATTATAGTGTAGGATATTGCTAAGGACCCCTCCTTTTATTACCTACCTATATATTTCCCCAATTATAGGTATATAAATAAAAAACAGACGTTGTACAATAAACACAGATTTATTTCTATTTTTCATAAGGGAAATCCTTTACAATGAAGAGAATTAACAGAAACAGACTATACAGGAAACAAAATAAATTACCTAATTATAAAACTATCATATTGGTCTGTGGCACTGGCGGTCATATTATTGTTACAAGAACTCATCGACAGATGGTGCTCTTCACAAAATTCGACATCGCTCTTTTATTTTCTTTATACACCATCAAATCTGTTTCGCTTACGACCTGCGGCAAAACAACTTGCTATAAATAGTATTTTCGATGCAGATATAAAGTAAAAACAAAAAATAAAGATGTCATTTTCAATACGCACATGAAACACTAGACGTACATTTGTAGGCCCTATCCGCATCGCACGTGCCACCCGACGAGAAATAGAGGAAAGTGACCAAATATGGAATACCATTTTGTTTCTTATGCATAATTTTCACAAACGTTGCAAATAATAAAACTTTTTGTGGTATTTACAACAATTATATATTTTCGCTTTATTTTGTAACAAGAATTGCATACTTTTATTACTCTTGAGTTAAAAATTTAAAAAAACTAAACGACAATAATAGTACCTAAATTTGGAATAGGTACCCCAAATATGGAATAAGTACTATAAATACAATTAAAACTAAATCGGAACTTACATAAAACTCTTTAGAAAGGTTGGTACAACATAGAAAAGAACACAACGTATTTGCAAAAGTCACAAATCCAGGCATCAGTCTCTGCTCCGGGGCAATCAATATGTGCCCAGAGTCCATATATGAGGCACTTGACCCATGTTTCTCTATGAGTATCATTTGAAAACAGAATACCACAGAAAATACACTCCGAATCTTCAGAGTCTGGAGTTGTATTTCCTATCAAAGCATCGGGCTCACTGTCTGTATCAAACAAAACGATGGACCTTTCCATAATTGGATTTTGCAACGACTTTAAACTGACATTAATATTTTTATGTTTAAGAAATAAATACAATTAAATACCACCGAAATCGACAAAAGAACATCTAAACTGTCTCTAAAAGTTATAAAAACAATACGATGTGCACTTTTTAAACGAAAAATGCGTATCTTTCAGATACCTTCGAAAGTTATGCAGAACCGGCAAAACAAAACACTGCAATATTGACGAAAGGGCTCACTCGACTGATATGTCACAGCTTGTACCCGTAGATGGGGATAGAAACAAAGAGACAAACACTGTTTCTTGCGTGTGTGAATTATAGTTTCTTAGTATTGCCTGTATTCCATATTAGGGATACTATTCCACATTTGGTCACTTTCCTCTACCTCTTCGAGAATAACGTGGCGTGATGTTTTGATAATGTAAGTACTATGAGTTCATAATTATGCGCTTTCAAAGATTGCTTTTTGCAATGGTTCACCTGTTATTTTTTGTTTTAAACAATTTATTTCTTTGTCAAACTATTGTATTACCAAGACAAAACCATTTTACTTCGGGACGAAAACTAAATAGATTTCACGGTGTATACTTAGGAACTTTTAACAATACGTTACGCCAGTACCATTTTTATTCAAACTTAAGGCTTAAATTTACCGCTTTAACATTCTGCACCACCCAATGGTCGACTGTCAGATAATGCCTACGGCATTAAGTCCGCCAATTTCACTGTATGTGCAATAAAGTTTAATAAATAAATAAATAAATACACTAATGATGAACTAATTCAGCCTCTGCCGACATTGGTTTAGCTAAAATATCTACTGAGTATTAAATATTCTTATATGTGTCTAACTTATTAATATACAATAAATTAATCAATACATTTCTCTCAGGCAAATTCCTGATATATCTCACTAGACGACGACAGACATACTCTATACAATGTAACACCCACTTTTCACTATTTATGTTATGTACGGTTGTTTTCTTAATGTTTTCTTAAAAGAAAGAAAAAAAAAGAAAGAAAAATGAAACCTTTGATAAGTAAGTCTTTCCGAATATAGGTACGTTTGTTTTCTTTTTAAAAACGTTGCCCCACATTAGGATTTTCTCCTGTGTCGTGGGTGCGTTTACAAACATACAAGTTCACATACACATGACGTACAGCGTATAGCACAAACCCAGGACAACAACCGGCTACACGTTGTCGTGCAGTCAAATACATCATACATATATACCTATACTTGTAATATATAAATCGCAATATCCTATGTTGCTACTATCTTAGCCAGTCAATCAACCTCCTCGTTTCCCTGTAGACCAACATGTGAAGATATGAATTGCGAAACGTCGGCCCACCAAATAAAAAAAACTAAATTCACTACATTATTCATATAATAAATTCTATGATCACTAATTGTGCCATTTTATTTAGATCCTAACACTGATTAGTGGCTCCTGGCTTTTATTTTCTAAGATAATAAATAAAGGAATTTGTCAATTTATTTAAAAAAAAACTTTAACAGAGCTCATTCGATTCTGTTTCGAAAATATTCGATGCAGAATTTTATTTAAAGAAATTGACAAATTGAAAAAGCTAACGATTTTATTTTTGTTATTTTATTTCAGTTTAGGCAACTATTGCCTTTACAGGTATAATTTATAATAAATAAACTTAAATTACGTATTATTCTTAATACCTCCCTGTAATTAAGCCACCGTGTGCATAAGCAGTGGAACCACACCATGCAGCTGAAAGTCCTCTTCTAAAAGACTGGTGACATGTGGGCACCTTGGCATTCTCAACACATGCGCCCTGAAGTTGACGTTGGCGGTCGACTCTAACAACTGCACAGCTTTCGTCTGGTCTTCTGAAGCACGTATTTAGGGAACAGAGAGTGAAGTTCCCTAAGATCGAAAGGAAGGATCTTTAAACCAGTCACCGGCTGGCAAGCTACTGCCCAACAGTTGTTCTTTGGGATTCTCTACACAGTCATGTTTATTCGCACTCAAAGTTCACTTGCGATGCGTAGGATAATGGGACGTCATCTGTCGATTTGTCGTTAAATCTGCGATGTGCGTTGCCAACCTACGATGTCCTCTCTGGTAGTGTAGGCAGGAGATATTCAACAGTTAGATATTAGGCTCCACTGAAGCGGTGACACGATGGTTCTTGTTGACATCTTGACGGTGCTTCCTTCCTTGCACTATCACATAGCCATTTTCGTCAGCCTTAGTCATTTCCTTCTTATGAACGTGCTTCTTTATGAGAGCACTGAAAACGCTTGCCACCATGCGCGCGCGGACTTGTCAGCTGTAGTACGCCGTGTTTGTGGTGCCGCCATACGAAATTACAGGACATAGGAGCAGCTTAGTCTCTACCATAGCAACTTTAGTGAAATCCATTGAGCTCATCATGTCTATCACATCACTCGCAGCAGCAGAATTGGAACAGCAGATCTCCGCTGCGTTTGCAACCAAGTTGTGAGTAGGACGGCGAAAAGGTGTCGAAATGTCGAACACTGCGCTGTGCAAGCTCTGAGGGTCTCACTCATACATACTATGACGCCGTAGTTTCACTCCGATTGAGCCAGTCCACTTCTGCCAAAACAGTCCTGACGGTGCGTACGTTAGGCTGCGCAGATCTCCAACAAGCAGGCTGCGCCACACGTCTCATGTTGTTTCGTGAAACTGCTCTTCTTCTTTCAGCTTTTCTATATTAATGGGCATAATAAAACCCTGTGGCCTGTGGCCTGTGGCAGTTTTACGACGAGTGTTTCCCGTGATGATGGTGACGGTCGTCATTGACGTACAATAGCGGTGCCAAGTTTTCAGCAATTTCTTTCTTCAGACAGTCGATTGTTAGCTCTCTGATGGCCACACAGTCTGTGAACTTCTTCTGCAGAATGGCTTGACAATGTATTGTTGGATATCAGATGGTGCCAAGCACGACATTGGTCAGTTTTCAATGAAACCCTCTTCATAAACTTGTCTTCACCACTCTGGTACTGCCTAGCCAGGGAATACTATACAACGATCAATTATGCTACCTTAGGCCTACCTTTAAAAAATCAAAATAGAACTAATTTGATTTTTTCCCATTCTCTGCTATTTTTGGGCCCGATAGTTTTATGATTTTTGTATTTTCGTCTTCGTTTCACGTTAGTCACGTATCAATAATGATAAAATTGAAGTATTTGCACAGATAGCTAGCTAACAGGCTGACATCAAGCCGTTTTGCCTTGTAGATAAGCAGCGACTAGGGCATATAAGAGTCTGATAAAAATGGGTGCGATATTACTGGTGATGTCGATCCCGACTGAAACGGTACGAGTGTCACGATTGCATCATAATTACATCATCATAATATTATATTGTTTCAAAAATTTCGTATTCAAATCAAATTTAGTTAAAAGTTAGTAATTAGTTAGCTGTGCGACTTCAAATGTTACTTTTTTATTCCAAAATATTGTGTTTTAAAGTGTTAAATCAGTGCAAAAGTTGTACCATATGCTGCGTTTTTCAACTCATTTTTTAGTGATATTCCATCAAAAATCTTTGAAGAAAGTGGTTTATTGTGTTTTGTGCTTATATTTCAATGAAATAAAATAGATTTCATGCAAAATAAACGTAATATCGAAATGTTTTAAACACGTGGCGTGACCGTGATGCATTGACGGTACGTTCGTTTTCATCCGCAGTTTTGTCCGTTTAACTCGAATTTTAACGAATTACACCCGTGAATCTTCGTCAATTATTAGATACTCTATGTATTGATAAAAACCGCACAAATATTGATTAGGTAGTTATCCAGTTTTGACACATTGAAAAGTAACGTGACGCGACGATGAAACCTGAAGAAAATGTAACATTTTAACAAGAATCCTGGGCCTTCTAACTATCCCTTTCGTTGGCAAAATTCGTGTACATTTTAAGATAGACTTAAGACACGTATGCATAATACTTTTTTGAAAATATGTCACAATAACTGTCTCCCCATCAGTTTCAACTCTGTCGTACCTAAAATGAGTTGAAACCAATTGGTACCAGTCGCAGTTTTAAGTAGAATTTTCTGGTATATTGTTATCGTCCAGTGGCGAGCTGGTTGGGGGAACTAGCTTTACAACATTAGGATCCAATAATATAAAATCATCAATAAAATATGAATGATCGAGTTCAGGAAGGGTTGTTTGAGAGCGTCGACGCTCAGTCTCGACAAATTCTTCTTCCATTTTCTGCTTATTGTAATTAAACACAGATTTTGAAATAATCGACCTTCCTCCACAAAGAATAAGTGAAGACTAAATGACCTGGCTATTTTGACATTTTGTTTTTGGTACGTTCAACCCGAAAATGTCAACCCAGGTACAAATTATTTTTAATTTATTAAATATTTAATTAAATAAAATATATATTTAATTCCAAGGGTAATTTGCCCTGGATTAAAATCTATCTATATTTAAAATACAAAATGTATTTAATTTATGTAAGTTTTTTAATTTTTTAATCTTTCTTACTAAGTGACTAAACTATACGCATTTTTAATTACCTAAGATTTTTTTAATTTAGTTTTTAAATTTAGAATGAGCTGGATATGTATAGTATATTGTGTTTAATAATCTATCTAATAATTGTTAATTCCAAAAAAATGCGTTCTTTTAAGCTAATTAGATACGCATGAACGCATTTTTTTCGGTCTTTGGACTTGATCCAGTGTTTTTGCATGTTTATGTTCACTAGATGGTGCTAGTGCGGCTAAAACTGTTGTTGTTCATCCAATAGGGAATTACCCAGTGTTCCACCATTGGACGTTTAATATTTGATAGTTGCATGATTCGACAAAAAATCCCTAACTACATTTGCGCCATCTTGTGAGCCCCACTGGGATATTTCATTGTGCCGTGTTCGTTTTTTTAAAGAAAATTTCGGCACGTTAACAAGGAGCATCAGGAAATAAAAGCTGGCGAAGCTGAAGCGGTGCATTAGTATTTGATAAAAAATAATGTTGGCCGTTATTGACTGCCTCGTTTGCCGAGTGGTCGCAAGTGTGACTGCTAGGCTACGGGTCTCGGATTCGAGTCTCGGGTCGGGCAAAGTATTGGGTATTTTAAAATTCTCAGTAGTAGCACGGAGTTTGGAATTGTGCCCAGTACATGGCAATAGGCTCACCCCCTATTACATGGGACTCATAACGTAAATAGTGAAAAGTTGATGTTACATTGTACAGTGTCCCTAAGTGCTGAGATGGGCACCTCTGCCTACCTCTTCGGGATAACAGGCGTGATGTTATGTTATGTAAAATATAACGTACATAGATGTTCAGTCAATTGGTATCTTAATGTTTTGTTTTTTTTTTATCATAACGCAAAGTATGTTTTGATAAAATATAGATAGGTACGTCACAGATACTTAAACATTGATAATATTCATTCATAATGAAAAAAATTTAAACAGTTTGATAAAATAAACATTCGATAAACATTCATACATGCCTTTTTTGATAGGAGAAATCATCGAACGACTTCTCCCGCCTGGGTGAGGTGGGAGGGAGTGTCAGACTACTACTGACTAAAACACCCCGTTCTTACTCTTGCACTTCGAGCCGGAGCCCCGCCCGGATTATCTCTCACGACAGCTGGGACGTGAGGAGGTTCTCTCACGCGCTCCACCTCCTCCTTAGCTAGCATGACTGCTTTGCAGAAGGAGGAGACGGTATCCCAATCCCCAGATTCATAAATGCCTGGTATTTAAATAAGGAATTAGCAGAAGTACATATATTTAAGTATATTTTTCTGCTCTTTCACCCTCATACGTTTTCATGACCTAATTAATATGTATGGGCCCCAATTATGGAGTGAACTAATTTTTTTATTGCATGCAGAATTTCAGCCGGGGTTGCGGACAACCTTGCGAGTTACCGGGGCTGCAAGCTGCCAAGCAGGAGTAGGAACGGGGTGGATTTAGTCAGTAAGAGTCTGAGACTCTCTCTCATCTCGCTCAAGGTAAGAGGAGCCCATTTGATGATTTAATTATGTTTTTTTCTAATTGGCGACTTTCTTTAATATATCTATACATATTATATACTTAATTCAAAGGTGATTCTATGACTGACTGACATAGTGATCTATCAATGCACAGCCCAAACCACTGGACAGATAGAGCTAAAATTCGGTATACAGATAGATGTTATGACGTAGGCATTCGCTAAGAAAGGGTTTTGATAATTTCCACCCCCAAGGGGGGTAAAAAAGGGGATGAAAGTTTATATGAAACTTTGTCAATTTTAAACCGATCGGGTTGAAATTTGACATGCAGATAGATGTTTTGACGTAGGCATCCGCTGTGAAAGGATTTTGATAACATCTACCCCCAATGGGGTAAAATAGGGGATGAAAGTTGTATGAAACTCTCAGTTTTACACTGATCGGGTTGAATTTTGACATGCAGGTAGATGTTATGACGTAGGCATCCGCTGTGAAATTATTTCGACTGTTCAATACATAAAACATAATCACACTTTCATTAATAATTGATATTATGACCAACTTAATTTTAGTATTTTTCCAGCATTTTTTTAAAGAAATAAGTATTCTGTTTGACGCTAAAACAACGTGACGTCACAATACACAATCTCGTATAAAATTTACAGAAAACTCTCGTTTTTTGACAGTTCGAAAAAAGTATTGAATTTGACTAGTTGGCAAGTATTTTTGTGGTGGATACATACTGTTGCATAGTTTATTTATCAAGGCAGGCTATAGGCAGTACAATATCAGGCTAAAATCAACAGCCGTGCAGGAGTAGTTGGTCAAAGATATTATTAGAGGAAACGAATACTATGCTTGGTTATTAATTTCAGCTACTAATGATTTCAGATGTCTTCACGTGACGTCGTGGCAGACGAATGGGTCCTAAAGTCGAGGCGCGGTGGAGACCTGGCAAACGCGAGGAAGGGGTTTCTCAGCTAGGTGGAGTAACGACATCCGCTGTACAACTGGCAATGGTTGGATGCGAAGAGCTTACTCATCCATAGCTCATGAAGTCATGTCGTTCCATTTCTGGAGCATGAACCTTCTCCACATATGAGGGGTTTGCTCTTTGCAAGCGAGTAGAATAGAAATCGCAGTTTAAAAGATTAAGATTTATCAGGGAGCGCTGCTTGTCGTTTCTATGAAATGTGTAGTCTTTTAGTCGGGTATACGACACCCGCGGGAAGAGTAGGGGTGGATGACAAATGTATTTTTGTTTTTTTTTAAGTTGGGAAAATCATCGAATAACTACTCCCGCCTTGGTGAGGGCGGGAGGGAGTGTCAGACTCTTTCTGCCTAAAAACCACTCCGTTCCTTCTCCTGCGCTTCGAGCCGGAGCCCTGGTAACCCGTTAGGTTCTCCGCGACTCCGAGTCGGCATCGGCCCTGTTGGGCCCCATCCGTGGTGGTCTGATGGCTCTTTAAGGCGCGCGTAAATGTATTTTAGTTTGCTGTCACGACACGACTTAAGATCAATGTCAGTAGTGTGCTTTTGGAGAGAACTATGTTCAGCAGTAAAAACAGTCTGACGATCCTCATCCGTACATCGATATTGGAGCTTCAAAAAATGTTAGAATTTTCTATAGCGTTAATTTCCCACAAATTCGAATTGCAATTTTATATAGACGTGAAAACATTGCACAGTAGCGCCATCTCTTATTCAGACAATGTAACTAAAGTCTTTAGTTAGAGTTTACTGTTTTTCAACGTCGTGTTGGCTTAGAGGTCCAAGACGCGCCTGCTTTTCATTCATGACGATACGGGTTCGATACCTATCAGCGGCAGGTACCAATGTAATTTTTTCCGAGTTAAGTATATGTACTTTTCAGAGACAACTGACAAACGATGAAGGAAAACATCGTGCGGAAACCTGGGCTTATAATCTCTTATTATAAATTTGCAATCGCCAACCCGCATTGAGTACCTAAGCGTGGTGATGCTCAAATCTTCTCCGTGCGAAAAGAGGCCTTTGTTCAGCAGTGGCCACAGTTGATTTGATGTGTGATGTTTTTCAGAAGGTACATTGTGACTGTACCAAGCCATAGAATATTTTTATGGAATAAGCCGGTAAACCCTATGGACTATGGACACCTGGAACACTAGAGGCGTTACAAGTGCGTTACCGGCCTTTTAGTGGATTAGGAGTATAAGGATCGTTGGAGATTCAAGGATTGAGGAGATTAGGGAAGAGGAGGGGGATAATTGGGCCTCCGGTAACCTCACTCTCACGACGAAACAAAACGCAAGCGTTGTTTCACTTATACCGCGGCAGTACAATTCCATTTGAACAAAAATATACACCAAAACTTATATTTCCGCGTTTTACTCCTGAACGACTAAACTGAATTTAATAATTCTTTTTTACTAAGTCGGTTATCGTTAAGACAAGGTTTGTGTGTCAAAAAAACATTAAATTCACCCTAATATATGCTGAAAACTTATCACAATAATAAATCCTTACTAATATTACAAATCGGAAAGTGAGTTTGTTTGTTTGTTCCGCTTTCACGCCGTAACTACTAAACCGATTGCTCTGAATTTTTGCAGACGTAAAGTTGGAAGTCTGTATTAAATAATAGAGTACTTTTCATCCCGTAAAAATTTGATATTCCCGAGGGAAAACAAAAGTATTTGTATAGATGGCGCTGTGTGTATTGGTATATGTCAAATAGGCTACTTTTTATCCTTTTGTGACGCGAGCGAAGCCGCGGGTAAAAGCTAGTAAATAAATAAATATGGTCGTGGTGGCCCGGAGGTTTAAGACGCCCGCTTCTCATGCATGAGGGTGTGGGCTCAAAACCTACCAACAGCAAGTACCAATGTGACTTTCAGAGTTACATGTACCTACTTACTAAGATTATCTAGACACCATTGACAAACGATGACGGAAAACATCGTGAGGAAACCTGGACTTTATAATTTCTAATTATAAGTTTGAAATCGCGAACCCGCATTGAGCAAGCGTGGGGATTAATGCTCAAACCGTCTCCGTGTGAGAAGAGGATTTGCTCAGCAGTGGGCATTTATAGGCTGTTGATGATGATGATGAAGTAAATAAATAATAAAATATTTTCTACTTACACAACACACAACGCGTTCATGTTGACAGCGCGAACGAATCTGTCGGATAAACAAACGAGAATAGTCATTAAATGAGAATTAATTAATAATAAACTAATATGAGGTCAATCTTTAATTGATAATGGAATGGAATCAATCTTATTTATTAATGTTAATGATGCAGCTACTATCTACTCTATATAGTTTATAGATTATTGCATATAGAACTTCGTGTCCGCCTCTGGAAGATGCCCACTTTTCATGCATCGCCGTTGGCCGAGTGGTCGTGAGAGCGACTGCCGAGCAAGGGGTCTCGGGTTCGATTCCCGGGTCAGGCAAAGTTTTACTGGGTTTTTAAAAAAATCTCAGTAGTAGCACGGAGTCCGGAACTATGCCCGGTATATGGCAATAGGCTCACCCCCTATTACATGGGACTCATAACATAAATAGTGAAAAGTGGGTGTTACATTGTACAGTGGCATTAAGTGCCGTAATGTGCACCTCTGCCTACCCCATAGGGGATAAAAAGGCGTAATGTTATCTACCACATTATTCAATTCAGACCAGTAATTCCCGAGAGTAGAGTGTTGAAACAAAGAAACGAAATGTCAGCTTTTGCACCTATAATAAGTATACATAGATAAGTACGATATGAATAGAATCTACGTCCTATAGGAATTCTATTGTTATGATGTCCTCGGAATAGACTTGGCCTGAAACCCGCTAGGACTGCTCTTTTGCACAATAACGTTTTTTGTATGGCGCCAATAATCCTTATCCTTAATAATACTGGCCGATGCCGATTCGGAGTCGCGGAGAACCTAACGAGTAACCGGGGCTCCGGCTCGACGTGCAGGAGAAGGAACGGGATGGTTTTTAGTCAGTAAGAGTCTGACACTCCCTCCCGACTCACCCAGGCGGGAGCAGTCATTCGATGATTTTCCCCCCTTAAAAAAAAAAAAGAATCTTTACTAATATTATAAATTGGAAAGTGATTTTTTTTTGTTTGTTCCGCTTTCACGCCGTAACTACTAAACCGATTGCTTTGAATTTTTGCAGACGTAAAGTTAGAAGTCTGGATTAAATAATAGGGTACTTTTTATCTCGGAAAAATTTAATATTCCCGAGGGAAAACAAAAGTATTGGTATAGATGGCGCTGTGTGTATTGGTATATGTCACATAGGCTACTTTTTATCCTTTTGTGACGCGAGCGAAGCCGCGGGTAAAAGCTAGTTTATAATAAAATTCCCCGGGATTATAGATGTTTAAACACCAATATATTTAAGATAAAAATGAGACGCTTACTAGCAGAAAAGTGTTACTTACTAAGTTACTACTGTTTGAATGACTTTCTGGCTGACACTACTTTTTG